TAAAATTTATTGCAAAGCTTTGAATTTTTGTTGTTAACTGATGTGGTCTGCTTGACACATTATCAGTAATATCAGTCATTCTTCTTACTGACATTTGGTCGCTTTGCAATATTTAACTAAGTATAATTCATATATCAATTTTTTATATATAACAGTTTATTTCAGGATATCCCATATAAAACATTACATCGTGTATATCTTGTCAAATAATATTTAAAAATTAATGCAAATATAATTTCATTGAATTAATATTAATTAATTAGTCACTAATTACATTATATTATATGTAATACAATAATAATTATAAAATTTTACTGACATTACTCATCATTAAAAAAAAAACAATCCTGAGATATATAAATTATCCGATATACAGTCATTAAAACTTTATTTTTAGAGGAAGATATTCTTTTATGAAATGAATATTTTAGATTTCTGATTAACTTGTTTAGGCAATGAACATTATTTTCAGCATACATTTCAGTAGCGCTGCACCTCCACGGTAGGCCCACTAATGCTATTGAATTGAGCTTTAATTCAAACGTTCAAAGCAATCAATGTTCAAATTCTGAATATATATAGCAATCAGCAATATAATCTCATTAAAGTATTAATCGTCAATAATACCTATTTAGTTATTTTATAAGCATCAGTATTGAATTTCCTATTCTTAAACTGGGACACGACTAATTTCAGTTAATATTTAACGATTGCGTGTTACTTATTAGTCCACCCATAATTCAAAGTAACGTTAGCAAATAAAAAGAAAAACAAACATTGGTGTTTTTCTGGGTCTGTCGTCGCTATAAATTTTAATTTGATATACGATAAGATTTCGATAGTTATTTCCTATTTATTTCATTGTTAAAATAAAGCTGTTAATATATAAATGAAATAAATTGCTTCAATTGCAAGAAAAACAGTACCGCTGTTAAAAATGCAGATGAAATAAATTGCTTTAATTGAAAGAAAAACAGTTTCGTTCTGGAAATTTAAAAATAAAGCTAAATGAACTCAATAATCTCGAGATTTTATATACGGTTCAATAAGAGATTTTAAATTATTTTTCTGAAGGATTTTTTATTCAATCGTTTAAAGGACATATGGTATTGTATTTATTATTTATTGCTGTAAGGGGCTATGCAGTTCCCTGAGGAACTGTAGTCACTGCGACCTTGAAGATCTATTGTGATTCGCCGCCAGATCTATAGTAACTCCTTTAGCCCGGTAGACTTCAAAAAGTCTATTATATTCCTGGCTTTTGTCTGTTTAATTTGCAGTGTCCAGATAAGGCTCGTACAATTGAGCTTATATTTGCTCTCTTTAGCTTCAAGAGCTCTTCAGCTAGTTAATTAGGGATTTAGCGTGATTTAATCCCGGCTGTTTTTGCCAGTATTTTTTTGAATCCCTTTGCAGGTCATTTTTTAGAATTTGCATCACATGGTTTTTAGGGATACCGCAAAAGGGCTCTGTTCTATTTGTAGTCCCTGTGCTCCAGCCCTTGCTAATTCATCCGCTTTTTCATTGCCGATGATGCCCGAGTGACCTGGTACCCATTTGAGAATAATTTTATTCTTTTGCCCCAGTTCATTCAATCTGTCAATACAGTCCTTTACCAGTTTCGAATTTATCACGCTCGAATGTATGGCATTGAGTGCTGCTTGACTATCAGAGTATATGTAAATGGTTTGATTTATGTAGTTTTGTTGGCGATTAGCTTCCACACATTCTAAAATGGCGTATACTTCAGCCTGGAAAATAGTAGCGTTTATCCCAAGATTCACACTTTTGTTGAATTTCGGTCTTACACCATATATTCCAGATCCTACATTATGACCCATTTTGGAGCCATCTGTGAACCAGACTAGGCTTCCTGTTTTACAGAGTTCATTTGCCTCTGACCATTCCTCTCTGCTCGATGTCTCTACTAAGTAGTTTCTTTCAAAGTTCCATAGCGGAGTCATGACGTCTGTGGTCATTGCTAGAGGTGTGTTCTCAAGGACTGTTTGATATAAAGATCTCAGTGCTTGAGAATGCCAGTTCTTTTGACCAGTAACTCCTACTCTGTAGATGCTAGCTTTCGTCTCTTTCATTATAAATAAATGCAGAGGCGGTAAGTTAAGCAGAGCATTCAGAGCGGCTCCTGGTGTGGTAGACATGGCACCGGTTGCCATAAGGCATGCTGTTCTTTGCAAGCTATTCATTTTGTTAATTACTGTAGCTTGTGTGGCTTTCTTCCACCATCTGTCGCTAGCATATGTTACCGTTGGCCTTACAATGGCGGTGTACATCCATAGGGCTATTTTGGGATTTATTCCCCATTTTGCCCCAGTTACTCGACAGCGTATACCTATATGCTATGGTAAGTGATGGTTGACAATATTCGTCTTAACCTACAATTTTGAGTACCTACATATGACAAATTTCGTAATTTAATTATTACAGTATGATGATTCTAATAAACAGCTATTGTATATACCATTCAAGAGATGGAACACAGTGTAATACAGCATATGATCTGGCAAAAAAAGCAAGATTTATGCATTAGACGAAGGCATACAATCGATTCGAGATATTTAGCAGTAACATGACGTTCTATCAATCGTACCTCAAAATTGCGACAGTATTTTTTAAGGTATTATAGTAGGTATGCGAATTTCTTTATTTACAGCTATTTTTAATCCTCCATCGATGTAATCTTTTTGTGGTTAGCTAGTAGTTAGTGAATTGAGTTTTTCTTTACATAATATAGAACCAATTTCAATAAAATTGTATGAATATTTATTGCAGCATTGTAGTAATTTTTTTAATGGCTAATGGAATACGCTCGAATTATCGATATTTTCATACAAAAAAAAAATAGTACAGTAGAGCGATTCCGTAAAAATCCAAATCAGATGACCGAACTCATTTCGAAAGCGAATCCGCTTATTCTTGAATCTCAACGTTTCGTAGCATAAGTGAAGTGAAATGAGGTTTGAAATTACCTAATTAATAATATTTATACTGAAACTTTCATGATTTATTTCTAACAGGAGATTACCTTACCTTATAGGTAAATCATAATTCGCCTAAACATGTTTAAGCGTTGAAAATTATCACGTTGACGTCGATTGTTATTTATATTCAAGGTAGGTATATGCTTCTTTTAAACTACTCGGAAAAGAAATGAACGAGTCATTATACAGTTTTAGAATATTTTACCGTAAATTCGATCACTACTTTGCAATTATTTATTTGACAAGTGAATTCGAATTTCGAGATGATTATCAAGTTTCCATTGAAAATATCAATTTCTATGCATATAATATCAAAATCTCACTTATCTTAGTTTAATTCACTCCGCGTCCGACAGTAAGGTGCTAGCGGCGTTTTCGAGTTATACAAATTACGAAATTACACTGCGGATTCAGCTTTCTGATATTCGAAATGCGTTTACAGAATCGCATGTTTGGTCTGAAAAATAATCCCTGTGAGATTCCAGGAGACACGTCAACACAATTAATAATCATAACTAATGATCTAATAAAACTACCCGAGAAGATAACCTTTCATTCCAATTAGCAGCTAACAAATTATGTGAAATTCTATCAAAGGTTTCGCTGTAGTCAGTATAGATGATACCGATCTCCACTTTTCATTATTTGATTCAGTTTCAAGGGGTGCTTTGTGTAGGTTGTTAATATTACCCGCCAGACTTCATTAGAGGTTTCATAAATATATTACTTGCCTTTTAGATAAGTGCCATTTTTAAAATGGGTTTAGGTACTTATCAAAAAACATTTATCATTGTGATTATAATATGCCATGAGATCATTTGCATTATAATCTCGAACAATAAGATTATGACGATAGTTTGATACGACAGTCTTGAAATTGGATAAAATAAGATCAGAAGATAATGCAATATACATTTTTTATTAATTTGCCAAATGAAATTTTATTAGATCAGGTTATTGATGGATTTAAAGCAACTCCAAGTTTGGCCGTAAACTAACATGATAAGATTATTCAGAAACTAATAAAGTATGTGGCCTATAAACATTTTGAGTGTCTATGTGTGAATAAAAACTATTATTTCAAGTGTCAATTATTATTTTTTAAGTTGTCGCAACAAATAATACTTAAGAATTCTTTTTTTAACGCTATAATAAAGGAGTAGCTCATTATATTATGATATCGTGATAGAATACGGATACAGAATGCCCCACTAACTGTTAGTAACAGGTTGATTCAATTAAAATACAAAATTGTCTTGCGTCCTTACTAACTTTCTTAACTTTAAAGGACATATCAAACTTGCGAATCCATTAATTATTAATTGCAAAACTTTCAGAGAACATGGTAATATTTCCGAACTTTAGCAACTGATGTTAAAAACAGAATCGAACAAGTTTCATACAGTTTCAGTCCGACATTAACAAAAAAATTGTAATGTGTTGTTTTTTATTTAAATAAATAAAATATATATTCTGTCGTAGTAATAGCATTAAATTATTCATTAACAATGAATATTTGAAACAATTATTAAAACCTTTAATGCAGTTAACTTCGTTACTATTTCCATGATTTCTCTTTCTGTCAATGTAATACATTTTCAGTTTTGTTTGGAGAAAAGTTTTTACTGTCACATCTTCCACTCACGCTCGTTACATTTCTGTTATTAACATAATTTCCATAAATATAACATACTCCGCTGCTGCCACGACATTTAAAAGTAAAATATCATTTCTCCCGATCTATTAATGTGTTACAGTATAATTTGTCACACAAATCACTGCACACTTCAAGATTAGACCTTAAAAGTAAGTGGTACAGTGACTTATTGATTGCACGCGTAAACCGTACAATGAAAAGTGGTTTGTGCAAATAAAATTGTTATACAAACACACATGAAGCAGGAAAAAAATACTGCACACAGCCCGGCAGGATCGTTGCAGCGTGACGATGAATAAAAATCATCCACACCGCATGAAGAACTTCATTGATTAAGGAGCTGCCGATGAAGGTGGAACGAATAGAGCTGGCGTGACCTACAAATGGATTGGTGACGGCTTGTGCGAAAGTGTTATTTGTGATATAAACTAATAAATAGTGTTTAAAATGACTCCTCTAGTTTTACTGTTCGCTTTAGCGCTCGGACATGTTACCGCGGGGGTGGTAGAACTTAATTGTAGTGATAATGCTACTTGTATAGAACACATGTTGAAGCAGACAGCGAGGAGTTTGAGGCAACAGAAGACCGTTAAGTTATTCGACACGATAACGATAGAACCTTTAAAAAGGAGGCAAGCGAGATCGCATGATGGACCGTTGGCGAGGTTCTCGAAGAGTCATGCATTTAGTTTCGATTGGAACGACTTCGAGTTCAGGCTAACCAGACCGGAAGGTAGAAGTGATGTTCTAGATTTGGAGGTCTACGAGAGCAGGGATGCTAAAGGTAAGTCAAATATTTTAAGAGATTTAAATTAGTTGAAATCTTAAAAATAAGACGGTGAACATGACGAAGTATTAAATGTATGACTTAAATATCTATTCTTAATGAAAAATTCTTGACAAATCATTTTCCCTTAAAACCTTTTGTAATCCGGGTGACTACTCTAGTAACTGATCACTCAGGACCTAACCCGACTGACGAATTTTTCAAGATCTTGTTACTTTTTCGCTACTACAGAGCGTATTTTCATCAATGTTCAGGCAATCTACCCAAACAGCTGAAAGAAATATTTTTATAAATATTTTAAACTTTCGATAAATCCAGTTAGAGCAGTCGCCAGGATTTCGAAAGGTCATGGGTTCGAGTTCCATCTCAGAGTGCGAGGACAAAGTGGATTTATAAGCATTTTTCATCAACAATATTTTTCAGTAGAGCACCGGGAATGCAAAACTGATGAAATATAAAAATTAGAACAAATTTTCATTATTATCGATAGTTTCAATATTTGTAAAAATATATTTTATAATTTTGATGTTAAATTTTGTTGTTTATTAAAAAAATGAAGAAATGTTTTTCCATTCGTCAAACATTGCTAACGGTCATGAACATAAACGTCACACATCATTACCTTCAATGAACTGTATTGAGTGATACGATGCTTGCTTGCAATGTTATGGAAACAAGCCTCCTAATTGGCTAAGGATCGTCCAAGCAAACATTGTAATTTCGTCTTACTACGAATGTGGTTATGTCAAACTATGCGATGCTTTTATTTGTCGGTGTCTCTACTTACCTTTCTTGACACTAGGGCGTTCGAACAAAGCAGAAATATCATTGAGACTACGTAAAGTAAAGATTTTAAAATATTCAGTATAATTAAATAATATATTATATTTAAAGAGAATTCCAAATGAAATGCAGTGGGCTAAGACTTTTTTATATAATCACACAATAAAAGTGTGAAGAAATGCAGTGGGCTAACGATATTTTTCTATATAATCACACATTAAAAGTGTAAAACGACTTTAAATTATTTGGAATTAAAGTCGTAAGATGGCTTTATACAATTTTAGATCTCGATATAATCTGTTTTCTTTTGGAGTGATATAAGTTTATATTTATGTGATATAAGCGTATGTACAAAAGTTGCTTTACTTTGAAGTACACCCTCAAGTTGTTTTACTTTGAGTTGGACTTTGACAAAGGAAGTTTGTTCAAAAAGAAAATGTTATAAATATAAAAAATATACTAAAACTATAAAAAGGCTTTATTTTAGTCGCGGCAATGATATTATTTTACTTTAAATAATTGATATAATAAAATTTAAATGGTTACTAAACGAAAGTTTTTGAAATGAAAAAATGCGTTGGTATCGGCGCACTTAATAAATTGAACCAAGCACTTATTGTACCGTTTGTCAAAATAACATAACAATCTACGTCAAAATTTAATATACGACTGAGAGAATTGCGGTATATACCCGAACAAATAAATGTGTAAGTTGTACAAGGCAAGGACTCAAACTATCGCAGTACTAAGTTTCCTTCAACAAATTATACTTGTTTTATGATAGACTAGCTTACCGTCAGCAGCTTAGTTCACTTCATTATATATTATAGATATAAACCTTTTTCTTGAATAACTATGTATAAAACGAAAAACGGACTAAAATCCGTTGGTGTATAGGCAACGGTAAATATCTTTGTTTTATACCTACTTTGTTTATATAAATGACAGATAATCTTATAATCTGTATTCAAAGTGATCTCGCTATGGTTAAAACTATAAGGTTGGTATTATCATTAATAATGTACGCACGACTCTCATAAGATATCATTTACAATATCAATCTAGAGGTACATTAGCGAAAACAACAGCCCACAACTAAAATAGGTGTTAGCAATGCAAATTTCTACATATATTAATTCGTTGGAATATACATTAAAGTGCAAATTGGGCTTAAATGTCATCAAATATTGTGTAACTATTTGTTTTGATACATATAGTCATATTTTAATGAAAATGCTTAAAATTTCTGCCAGCTCTAGGTACACAATGGTGGGACCGAACCGACTACCTTTCGTAATCTGGGTGACTGCTCTAACGAAATTTTTCAAAAATTTGTTACTTTTTCGTAACTAGTGAGCGTATTTTCAATAAATGATCAGGCAATCCACCCAAATAGGCAAAAGAAATATTTTAAACTTTCGATCAAGATTATATTTTTGTTACTGTACCCAAGAAGAATAAAAATTTCAAGCAAATTTAACCGTACTACGTTCTAGAATTGTGTATAGCTCCGCCGCGCGTGGTTTAGATGAAATAGTTTCCATTTCATATATTACTAAGGATGAGTATGATCACATTAACCCCGTTTCTCGTAACATGCAAATATGTTAACTGATGGTCTACTCACGCGTGGCAACAAGCACAATAGGCTAGATAGGATCCTTACTTTTTTCATCAAGGAATTTTAAAAATAGATAAGTTTTGTGTGATAAGAATTCAGTTTCTAAAGATTTGGTCTTGACACTGGCCTTTTCTTAGACAATGTTCATTACATTACTTTCGTATCTGGAATATGGAACACTCCAGATATGAAAGTAATAAGAGCTTCTTATCGTCAATGTTGTGATCCCTAATATTCAAAACACTCAAAGATGTAACGCAGATACGATGGATAGTTTTAAATTAATTTTTACATCAAATGTTTCGGACATTCACGGAGTTTAAAAGAAAACTAATTAAAAAATCTTAAAATTGACTCTTAATTAAGAACAAAATTGTTATAAATAAATAATGATAAAACTAAATTAAAATTCGTTTCATCTTTATGCTGTCTTTTTCAGTGCTATAACTAGACTTAATTAAAACAAGATTTATATATTTTTAATTAAGACGAAACAAAAACGAGCAATTACAAAATTTCAGAAAGTGAAAAGTTGATATTTTAATTTTTATATCATTTTAGATGAATTTTGTATGACTTTTATTATATGTATATGATCAAATTTTGTTTTCACAATGCTATACTGAAAAAGTAACAAGTGCTTGAAAAATTCGTCAGTCAGTCTTGGGTAGCTCAGTGGTTAGAGCAATGCCCGGATTGTGAAAGGTCATGGGTTGATCTTTTGATCTTTTTAGTTGATCTTTTAATCATTTATCATTAAGAATAATTACTGAATCATACATATCCCGGAACGAGCGGCATTTCAAGAGACGCCTAACTATTTTTAGTAACTTTTTCAATATAATATCTAGACAATGGATATACTACATCAACCTTTGTTTATGGGAAATTATTAGATTACCAATGAAATTTCCCATTTTTTGCGTAATAATATTCTTTCATTAAAATTGATAAATAGACAAGTTGCTTTATAGCGGAAGTTTTGAAGTCGAACATTTGTCAGTTGTGGTTTATATATGAGTCATCTAATAAAAAATAGGATTTAACACGTTTATACGCGGATTCGGACATCATATGCCCCTATGTGTGTCAAAGTTTGGCCTTCTGATTTTATCTCGTTACCTATTTGTCTTTATGAGCAGTCCGAAGTTCAACACGAAGTCACAAGATATACATAGTTCGTCTATTTGTTACCTACACCACTATCAAACCTAGGTAATCTAATTGTTAGACAATTATCGTCAGTCCCTACGGACCCTTGTCAGTGAATAATTGACGTTCGAATGAAAACTAAGGAATTTGTGCTTGGTCCGTAAATTAAGAATATATTTTAAGTTTATCTATATATATATATATATATATATATATATATATATATATATATATATAACTCAAAGGTGATTCACTGGCATAGTGATCTACCAACGCACAGTCCAAAACAAGGGACGGATCGGGTTGAAATTTGGCATGCAGGTAGATGTTATGACGTAGGTATCCGCTAAGAAAGGATTTTGACCAATTCTACCTCCAAAGGGATAAAATAGGTGATGAAAGTTTGTATGAAATTTTGTCAATTTTATACTGATCGGGCTGAGGCTGCATGCACAAAGGTACTATATCTTAGGTATCCCCTAAGAAAGGATTTTTATAAATTCCACCCCTAAGGGGATAAAAAAGGGGTTGAAACTTTATTTCAGGTATTTTACATGATATAATGAATAAATATTCGTTAGAAATGCTGCTCAAAGTAACTTTACCACGCGGACGAAGTCGTGGGCAAAAGCTAGTATGACATAAAATGAATCAGAGTCAACATTAACAAGAAAAAGAAACACATTAATTTAATTATTAAAACGAGATTAGTATTTGTAATCTTTTTTCAAGCAACATTTTTCATATGTTCACTATCGTGCCAAGATCCTATTTATTTCCGTATAGGTACCGTTAAGTCATAATTAGTAGAAAATCCACTTTAAACCTCGTGATGCACGTGTAAGTTTTCGTAGAAAGCATCGTGTATTTAATAGCTTTAAATTTATGACAGCCTGGAAAAATAAATACTGAAAATTCTTACCTTATCTTATTCTATCTACTCCTTATCGAATAACATACTGACAAAACATTATTACTGATTCTTTTAATACGTTGTGTATAAAACGCTATTGGAGAATAATATTTTTTTTATATCAAAATTTTGGTTTTTGGACGCTATCCGTGACACACAGTATCGTAAATAATTTACATATCTAATTCACGTTTCTTTTATTTATTTCGCTGTTATAATTTACAGATATTAAAGCAGAAACACGTTCCCACATGGCTCTAAAAGACGACTAATGAAGGCAAAGAAAAAAATGTCTGAGAGCATAAATGTCGTTTCTAATAGAGGAAAAGCAAAATATTTTATTATCTAGATAGATAAGCATTCAAGTCTAGTATAACTAAACATATATACACACTAGCTGTTGTCCCGTGACTTCGTCTGCGTAAATTATAGTCTATATTCCCCGCGTATGATGTAGCTACCCGTAGGTGATAGAATTTTTAAAATCGGTTCAGTAGTTTCGGCGGTTATTCGTTGCAAACAAACAAACTTTTCAAAAATATTTTTAATATATTTCTGCTGTCGATTTCATTTACTTATAATTGAGTCGGTAGAGATAATAAATCTTTCGTTAAAATCTTTAGTTGACGCATTTAGAAAGTTTATCATTATCTTGGTCAATCTGGAATCCGCTTTGTGTAAGAAAATTTAATATAAATTATTCAGTTAGTTTTCTAGTGTATTAGTAACGCTACAAGTGTGGTTTACACTCGAGATGGTAAGTGGCACATATTAATTATTATATTGGAACGGTAAGTTTTTCCGATAATTTTATGATTATCGTTTGCTAGTAGCCTATCTTGAATTCGTGCACGTTGATATTAAGGCTAGGCGAAAGATGAAAAGAAAAACGAGACAAACGCACGCATTTTATTATTTGATTTTTAATTACCCACAAACTATTACGATTATTGTAAATGTTCTTCGTGAGACCTGACTATACAGACACTGACATATTTTTAATTTTTTTATAGAATAATATAATTTAGAGGATTGAAAATCATGGTCAATTTAAGATAATGGACTAGATATCGTTTTTAAATTAAACACCCTTCATTATATTTGATCAATTATGTATTCACAATGCTAAATAATTACATACTTAAAAACGTATTCTTAATGAAAAATGCTGAAAAAATCTACTTTGTCCCAGGCACTCTGAAATGTGTCTGTGGTAGCGAAAAAGTAACAAGTGCTTGGAAATTCGTCGGACCTGTTAGGTCCTGAATAACTCAGTGGTTAGAGCAGTCGCCCGGATTACGAAAGATCATAAGTCCTTATCCCATCTCAGAGAGCCAGGGATGAAGTGGATATTTTGAGTATTTTTAATTAAGAATAAACTCCTTTTCGTTTTTGAGTTTATATAAATTGACATTTAACTAAACGTTTTACAAATATAGCTAAGGGCGAGAAATAGAAGGAAAGTCTTTCTAAGATTCCATTTTTCTCTTTGCTAAAGAAGTAACTATATTTTTTTTTTCTACAAGTTTTGGCTCTTTCAGACCTTAAAATATATGATGCAATCATATTATTTTCAATAGAGCCTATTTGGACGCTATTTCTTTAAATAATCCAACTGGAAGTATGAGGGTGAACTTTGGTAGGCATTTTATAATTTAAATTTATGAGATTAGAATAGTTACTATTTAATGATGATAGTGGAACATGTATGGACTATTAAGTCAGTATTAAATATACCGATGACATGTTATATATGATTTCTTTTAAATAAGCTAGCTAATCGATATTTGCATGGTTGTCAGTATAGACTCTTGAATAGTAATATCAACATACGAGTACTGTCAATCTGTCCAAAACTTTAAATATTCTAGTTCTTTGTGAAATAAAAGTATAATATATTCCGTTGTTGT